ATCCTTTGCATGATTTTCCACAGTCTGGGCTTCATCTTGATCCTTGTTATTCTTACCATCAAGGCTCGTTTTAGTTGAAACCATGTAAGCTGTCACAACTTTGTCATCTAGATATCCTTCTGGAAAGAACTCTTGCAAAGTAATGGGCTTCTAGATCCTTTTACTTATAGAGGCATGTTTAGTTGACTGTGTCTTCTTGACCCATTTTCTGTTATGGACAGACTGCTTATAGTGATATAGAGGTTTCTTCTTCCTTTACCCCCTGTCAGAATAACTAGTCTGAAAAATGTCAGCTCATTGCTTCCGTGGTTTCTTTCTTGTTACCAGAGTCCATCCTTCTTCATCATCCTAAGGAAAGACCCTTCCAAAGGTTGAAACATCAAGTGCACTCCCTTTGCCAAGAGAGATGAGGATTGGTTCTAATGAGCCAAACTGGATGGTTGTGCAATATACCTCAGAAGTTGAAGGTTGAGAACGAGCACTCCCCACAATAGAGGTTGTCACAGTAGCAGTAGTATGATTTGGAGTTACAACTCCGTTCGTGTCCAACAAGATTTTTCCTTGTTTTGCCAGATTCATCACCACCTCCTTGAAGATAAAACACTTCTCAATTGGATAACTGACAATACGATGGTATTTGCAGTATTTTGGATCGTTGACACGTCCCATCTCTTAAGGGCGTTTGCATTCAGGAAGTTCTATAACTTTACTTTCGAGTAAACACTCCAAGATGCCAGGGATATCGGAATCGGGGAAGGGGTATTCCTTCTTCTCTAACTCCTTTAGCGTAGGACGCTATCTTTCCCTCTCTTGAAACTGGCGAGGCTTTTTATCATCTTTAATAAATATCTTGATTGGGGTGGTTAAGATAGCCATAGAATCTTTAGCAGCGGTCTTTGACGACTTATCGCCCTTCTTCCAGTCTTTCTTATCCTTGCGTGGTTCTATGGCTACGAGACTTTTGCCTTCATGGAATTTTATACCGATCTCCATGTTATGGGCACGCATAGCCAATTCTTCAAATGTACGAGGTTTTATACCTTACAAAATGTAAGGAAGGCCCTAATGCATTCCCTGCATACACAATTCCACAGTAGAGATTTCTGACAATCGGTCCTTGCAGTCAAGACTGAGTGCTCTCCACCGATTAATGTAGTCAATTATAGGCTCATCCTTCCATTGCTTCGTGTTAGTCAACTCTATCATACTAACAGTACGACGAGTGCTATAGAACCTATTCAAGAATTCTCGTTCCATTTGGTCCCAACTATCAATTGATTTTGACTTTAGGTCGGTGTACCACTCGAACGTGTTTCCTTTAAGGGAGCAGACAAACTGTTTAACTAATAAGTCCCCCTCTGTTCCGGCATTGTTGCAAGTCTCGACAAAATGGGCAATGTGTTGCTTAGGGTTACCTTTTCCGTCAAATTGTTGAATCTTCGGAGGTTGGTATCCTACATGCATCCTAATACTGTCGATTCTCCTTGTATAGGACTTTGAGTACCGTGTGCGGTAGAATTAGGATTCTCCGTCAGCATTATTGTGGAAGATGTAGGATTCCCAGATGGTGGTGGTGAGAAAGTTGCACGATTTCCAGTTGGCGGTGCTGTGGAAGATATAGGATGCCCAGATTGTACTGGTGATTCATCGAAGGTCTGAACTTCTAATTTGTTCATCAGCATAGCGATTTGTAAGTCCTTCTCTTCAACAATCTTTGTGAGGTTCTCAATGGCACGAGACATAGTTGCTAGTTGTTCCTCCACCGTGGCAGCTCCAGTCATCATAGCAGCAACCACATCTGAGTATGATAAGCCTTGAGAGTCAACATTTCTTGAAGTGATTGAATGCTCCAAAGTCTGACGTGGTGACTCTGGGGGTGAACCGACACTAGAGCCAGCATCATGGATGAAATGAGGTGAATTTGGTGGCGGAATCTCCTCTGGAACAACGTCGAGGTTCTTGACATGTTGGGTTTTCACGTTTGCCGGCTTTGCAGGAGTGGTTTTCACCAAGTCTTGTTGATGTTTAGATGACGTGATTGCCTGGGACTTGCTACGTGTCACAGGGCCCGCCAAGGTACTTCCATCACTTGATTTGGCCTTCGTGCCACTTTTCATGGTGGCTTTGGCGTCAACCTTTGCAGTAGCGATGTTCTTTTGGGCTTTTTTGTCTGTCGGAGTCTTAGGGGGAGCCATAGAATCTGACAGAGACGAACTTGATGGTAGGAGAAAGAGATGAGAGGCAAAGGAGGTCCCACTGAGCGTGCCCGAAATTTGTACACACAAATTTTGTTCTCCGCAAATAAAGACAAAATATAGGCAAAATAATAATTTATTAAATCAGAAATATTTGGAGTACAATCCTTTGTGATAACTTTTACAAATAGAATGGTCCTCTGATTCGATCTCCTTTTTGTTGTTGGTTGGATCCAAGGGATGTATAAGCTTGTTCTTGAATCACAGTGGAATTTGATAAAGAACGGCACATCTTTGGATGTGCTTGATGTTCTTCGCTTTTGGGTTTGGATTCTAAATTTGTGTCTCTGACTTCTGAGTCTCTGGATTTCTGAGTCTCTGGACTTCTGGACTTCTGACTCTCTGGATTTTTGGACTCTGAATTTATGTCCCCCTTCCTTCTTCCTCCAGGCCTCTATTTATAAGCTTCTTGGATCTATAGGATGTTATTTAGGATGATGTCGGGCCGGTTATATTATAAAAATTATCATTATAATATATTATAATTATTATAATATTATAATAATTATCCTTAAAATAACCAACAGGCCTGTGGCCTAGCGGTACAAGACTCCTACTTCCCAAAGAGAGGTCAGGAGTTCGAATCTCAGTAGAGGCAGTATGTGTGAGTTCCAACTAGGAAAAAAAAATATTCTTAAAAATAATTATTCCAAATATATTTTATTAGGAATAATTACCTTTATATTTAACCATCTAGGCTAGGCTAATTAAATAATTTAAGTGGACCAAACTTTGACCCATTAAATAACTTAATTAAACATTAGGCCCATAATTAACGGGTCTATTTATGAAAATCGAAACCCACTAAAATTTTAGTGTCTACAATAGCCTTTTAATTATTTGTTTGGCTTTTAGCTTTGGCTCTTCTTTTCATTTCAGAGCAGGAATCTTGAATTTTTAGTTGCTTGATGACTGCTTTCTTGAGGAGCAGAGTCCGAGCCTTCCTCCAGGCAATATGCCGGTTTCTCACTTTATCCAATAGGAGAATGGTAATGTACATTTTCTATAATATGTCGGTTTCTCACTTTAGCCAAGTGATTTTTATTTTATTTTTTTCTTTAGGAAGACAAAAACTGATTGATTTTCATAATGAATTGCTAGTACGGTATACGAAGAAGGAGCTATGACAAAATTAACCTCTATTTTATGCCTTTAATAAACCGTCCACTATTGTCATTTTACTCTATTGATAACCAAAGATAATTGAAAGAATAGTAATCTCCTAAAGTAGGGCAAAGAATTGTCAATTAACCAACAGACAATTCCTAAGTCTTCATCAGTGATGATCTACAACATACTCACTAGTCACCGCTGATATGGATTAATAATAAATTGACATGTGATCTTTAATTACCAAATCAAAAATAGTGGGTAGTTATTCACTTACTAACTCAGACGTAGTAATTTGATTACCATCTAAGATTTGGTAATTAAAATAAGACGTGTCTATTTATTATTAATTCACATTAGTGGTGAGTATATTGTAGATCATCACTAGTAAGGACCTAAGTATTGTCCCCGATAAATTAGCCGTTAGATCATCCCCTAAGGCTCCCCAGGTAGCAGTTGAATAGGATTCTCTATGTATAAATGACGCATGCTTGCATTAACAAAACATCCTGAGATTCCTCTTAAATGGGGGTGAGCTTTGATATAATGTAAAACTGGCTCCATTGTGATCTGGAGGTCGATCATGGGATCAAATCACATAAACAATCTCTCCCCATGCGGCGTTAAGGCTCCATCATGATAATAAATTAGTTAACTTTTAAAAAATAAATTTAAAAGACATTTGGGTCATGCCTTAACATTAGGACGTGATAATAAATTGGTTATGTGGCGACCTTGTGGGTAGATGTGCCATCGGCAGATACAAGTTAAGAGGCACTGGCAAGCTATCACAGCTACTGGTTTCACATTCCCATATCGCCTGAGTGAGGGAAAGATGAAGTCTTTATATGTGGTGGTGTTATCTTCAATTGGTATGAGGCATTTTGATGTAAAATTTAAGAGCAAAACTGTGCGGACTCGGATCCAAAACGATAATATATCATATCATGCAGTGAAATTGGATCCCCCTAACATTAGGGCATGATTTAAATAATTTATTTTCTTTCCTTTCTTTTATCCTTTCTGAACAAGAATGCTATATTTTCTTTTCTTTTGCTTCATAATTTATATAAACATGAGTAATTATTGCTATCTTTTTTTTCTCTCCCATACATGATATTATCATTTATTTTCTTTTCTCCCTTTTCTATTCAAATGAAGCCTTAGTTATGTCATATTCTTTTTTGATATTTTTTATATCCAGGTCATGACATGTTAGTCCAACATAACATTGTTTCAGAATCCTAATTGGTATGAGAATATGATACTTGTTAATCTGTCCAGGTTCTCCACAAAATTTTCTCTCTTATAAATTGACTTGAATGTTCAACTCTCACAATAATATTGTCACAGCTGACATCATAATCACAACAGGAATCAGATCACGAGAATGTTGATTTATTATTTATTTTATTACTGTCATTTTGACCTCAAATTAACCCGTGAAGTTTGAGAACAAAAATGTCTGACTTTTCGAGCTATATATATGTAGAGTGCATGCATACTTGTTTTACGTGTACCCACAAATTGAAAAACAAATAATTCCGAGTTCCTTTTTTTATGAACTACCAGCACAATTCAGCTAATACATCTCAGACTCTAAAGATATATAGAGTTGTATTTGCCAATTAAAAAATGTCAGTTTCACTTGAAGCTCTGGCAATGGCAGGTGCTAACTATGTCGAATGGGGTATGGACATTGAAGAATGGGAGCGTCGAGAGACGCCACCCCATTTATTAGCTGAAGAAGAAGAAGAAGTCCATTTGGAGAGAGTCAACAACAATGCGTTTCTGAACACTCCTTTCGTTCCGGATTTCACAAACCAGTTGAGAAATGATGATGATGATGAATATATTGGTGAAGAAAGTGTAGGATGGTATATAAAAATGGGTTGGTTGGGGTCAAAAGGGATGATTTTGGTGAGTTGTATAATAAGGGTGTTGATGATCCTAAGAAAGGAAATCAAAAGGGGGCTCAAGACATCAAGAAGTCCACTGATGACTACTTATTAGGGTTATTTGGCTTTTCTATGATCAGTTTTTTGTTTTATGTTTTTAGGAATCAGAAGCAGCACTTCTGCTTTCTTTTTTGTTCTAGAGAAAGCGAAAAACATCTTTTGGTGATGTAAAGATAGTTGTGCAGAATTTCAAAACATAAAAACACAATTGATATTTGATATATATATTTCAAGCTGACATTTGTAACTGTTCTATTGTCTCTTGTTTTTTTTGGGTAAGCAACTGTTCTATTGTCACATACTTTGTGTGTGGCTCTCATTCATTCAAAGACAGTCATTTTTTGTTCGTGTTTTCTTCGTAACTTATTGCAAATGTTTTGCAATCGTGATTCGGAGGCCCTAAATTTGTTTATATATATATATATATATATATATATATATATTTCTCTGTCATTCAGCTAAGTAAATCATACTATTAAGAGATATCACTAAAACTAAGTCATGTGTGGTTTGTTAGAGAGAGACTTGATTTAAGAAATACTACCTTTTTTTTGTTATTATTTATATATATATATATATATATATATTTGGTGATTTTAAATAATATGTGCATTACCTTTATATCATTAATGAATGGACCAAGCTTAATTTTGCAGTATACAGGCAATACTTGTAGAATCCTCTTATTATTATTATTATTATTTTATTTTATTTTTTTATACAGCTGATACATATTATTTGGTTGGAATCCTCCAACTAACTTAATCTAGTATAAGATCCTTTTCTTAAAAAATTAAATAAATAAATAAATTATGTCCCAAGTATACAATGAATCAAAGTGTAATTTAATTAAAATAAAATAAAAAGAAGAAAGACATTATTAAGGTCATTAAATGAAAAATAGCATTAGAGTCTTTTGCCACCAAATGTGATAGTACAGACTTATGCACAAAATATATTTTAAGGGGTTATATGCAAATTCGGACAAGGTGGATTTTTTTTAATTTTTAATTTTTTATTTTTTTAAATTTTTTTATTGTGCATATATGTTGAGAAGTAAAGGTATGTTAATATGTACTCCCTCCGTCACATAATAAATGTCATACTTTGAGAATAGTGACTCATAAGTAAATTAATGACTTTCCTTAAATACTCCCTCCGTATTATAATAAGTGTCATATTTTGGACACACAGTTTTCAAAATATGATATTTATTATCAATGGGCCAGTGACCTAGCGATATTAGTTTCTTACCTTCTTAAAAGAAGTCAGGAGTTTAAGTCTCAAAAGAGACGTGTGTATAAATGCCAACCAAAAATATATATATATAACACTTACTATGACACGAAAGAAGTACTTAAGGAAAGTCATTAGTTTTCGTCAAGCAATTTTCCTAGATGGCATCAAGTTTCATCAAAGCTTTAAACATTATAGAATTGTCATCATTAGTCATGGATGACATCATAAATTGTCATCATTTGTCAACATAAGACATAGGTTGACAAATATGGGGTCAAAAGCTTGAGCCTACAATTTTATTTTAATTTTAGATCATCTCTTAATTGTTAATTAAAATTTGTTGGTTACCTCTAGTCCAAGGCACTATCAGAATTCAAATTGAATCCAAGGGTTAAAAGTTAAATGCAGCACTCACAAAAGTAATCTCATGCATTCATTTAACGAGTTTCGGGAATATTGAGCATGTTTTTTGTTTTTGGTATTTTTGTTTTTGTCCGTTATTGTTGTAACAAGGAATAATAATAATAATAATAATAATAATGATAAAAACGCAATTGATAAAAATTATTTTGATTTGCATAGTGTCAAAAAATTCCTGAGTTTTATGTTTTTCTTGTTTGATTCAAAAAAAAAAATCCATTTTGATGTATTCAATAATGAATTTTTGAAAACTTTTCTTAAAAATCATAGTCTTAGTCAAAATAGAATGACACCCTTCCATTGACCGATCGAGAGACATTGGCCTCGCGTCAATCGATCAACATTTGACTCGAACAATTGAATACTTTAGCTCTACAAAACCTATTAGATCTCCCTGAATCTCGATCCCAGACCTTGGCTACTCTACACTCTGCCAAGAGTTTTAGTCCTAACCTTACACAAAAATACGATCAAGAGAATGTTGTTTTCATGATTTTGGTTCATATTCAACTTCTATCTCCCTCGGTTGTTTTTTTTTTTTTTTTTTTTCGGGACAAAGAAGGAGATATTATAGGATCAACAACATTTACAATTAAAGTAAAAATTTACCAATTCTTGTAGCCAAAAGGGGGAGGCTATGTGGTGAATGAAAGACTCGTTACATTTGAAGCATTAAAAATGTTGCCTAAGTTGGTGAGCTATTGCATTGCTTGCTCTCGGAGAAACTGGACTCAAACCATTGGACTCACAGGGCGTAGAAGTTCCTTGTTTTAAGGGGTTATATGCAAATTCTATTCTAACAAGGTGGAGTTTGTTAGAGTTGTGGCTCAAATTCTAGTGGAGAATTCTATTCTAGACAAGCGGAACATGTTGATTTTAAAGACCAAGTTGCGCTTAGGCAAAATGGTTGGATCAATGGTTGAAGAAGTGGAACTGGTTACGTTTTAGCATAACCAGTTGCGCTTGCCAGATATGTGCGAGAAATAGCTTCCTAATCAGTTTTGGAAACCAGAAGAGTTGAGAAAAAGGTTGAACATTTGGGGAAGACTTTGTACCTGCTATTTTTGAGTTGAAGATTAATATGGTAACTCCTTATAGGCAAATTGGGGAATATTTATCCAACAAGAAATTGGGTTTTGAAAACTCTATAAATAGATATGGGTGTGAGAGATATAGAAAAAGAGATGTAAGAGGTTTAAGGGTAAGTGTTGTGAAGAGAGGGAAAAGTATATGTAATTTCCGAGTGTATAGATGCGGCCTCAAAGAGATGATTAGTGAATGAGTGGGGTTTTGACATCTGGTTGTATATTCTCTTTCTTGATTAATAATAGTTAAATCTCTCTCTCCATGGACATAGCCCTAAAGTTGGGTGAACCATATAAAATATTGTGTTGTGTGCGGATGTGTATGATTGTTATCTCCATATATGCTTGTGTTGATGTGATGTGATGATACTTCCTGTGTGTGTAATGAATGAATGATTTAATTACTCTTAACAACATCTGACCGTTAAGTGAGTTGGAAGGAGTTAGGTATTCCCAACAACTAGTATCTGAGCCGATGGTAGGTCAGAGCCTGTGGTTGGTCCTGAAGATCAGTAGCAAAAAATTTGTGTGAAGTTTGTCAGAACAAAAGATGATCGTAAGGAGCTATGGAGATTCAATCAGAGTTGATGATGACACGAAGATATGAAGCAGATGGATAATGTGAAGCCCATGAGGAACATGTTTTGGGACAAGTCAAAGGATGCTAGTTTTTCAAGATGGAACGAAGGTGATAAGTGTGAAGCCCATGAGGAACAAGTTTTAGGAACAAGCCAGAGAATGAGTGCTAGTTCTTAAGATGGGGCAAATATGGTGTGAGGAATGAAGGGGTATGTTCTAACCCCGATAAAGAGTAAAGATGAGAGGTTTGTTGTTTTGAGCCAGAAAAGTAATTGATGAAATTGAGTTGATTTATTTACGTGAGCAATTGAACACCAATGGAATGGATAGAAAAGATTAAAGGAGAATAACGAAATTTGAAAAAATGTGGAGATTGTTAAAGTGCTTATCAATATTCATCATAGTGTTTTTGTTCGAGATGGAGCAATCTTCTGTTGAGGTGCAGCTATGAAGAAATATTCATTCAAGGTGGAGCTACGGAGAAGCATGTGAAGATAGAATTTTGAGCCAAGGTGGAGATTGTTAGAGTTATGGCTTAAATTCTAGTGGAGAATTCTTTTCTGGACAAGCGGAACAGATCACGTTGTAGCGGAACAGGTTGCGCTTGGACAAAATGGTTGGATCAATGGTTGAAGAAGTAGAACCAGTTGCGTTTTAGCAGAATCAATTGCACTTGCCTGATATGTGCGAGAAATAGCTTCCTAATCCGTTTTGGAAGCCAGAAGACTTAAGAAAGAGGCTGAAGATTTGGGAAAGAAGTTGTGTCTGCTATATATTGTAGAGTTGAAGACTGATATTGTAACTCCTTGTATGCAAGTTGAGGAATATTTGTCCAATAAGGAATTGAGTTTTGAAGACTATAAATAAAAATGAGTGTGAGAGGTATAGAGAGGAAGAGAAAAAATATGTAAGGGGTTTAAGGGTGAGTGTGGTGAAGAGAGGGAAGAGTATATGTAATTCTCAAGTGTATAGATTTAGCCTCAAAGAGATAATGAATCAGATAGTGGGGTTTTGACATTCAGTTGTATATGATCTTCCGTGATTTATAATAGTGAGATTTTTCTCTCCATAGACGCAACTCTAAAGTTGGGTAAACCATATAAAATAGTATTGTACGTAAATGTATATAATTGTTATCTCCATATATATTTATATTAATGTAACATAATGATACTTTCGTAATAAAAGAATAATTTAATTTTAAATAATCCACGATTGAGGAGGTAGAGGGAATTAATTATCCCCAACACGTATCCCTACGTGACATATTAACACGTCGCATGTTTGGTCACAAGTGGCATATTAACAAACGCATAGCATGTTTATCTCCGCAAACAATCATCCAATGATGTCTTTATCAGTAAACAAAAAGCACTTTAAAGTTACTCACAATAAGCAAGTAAACATCATGTAAAAAGATATTTTTCGTGACCAAATTTTAAAAATTTATTACAAATAAAATGATTTTTTTAATTATAAACATAAATGCCTCTTAACTATTAATAAACTTTTACACCAATTCTTCCATGAAAGAGTAATACTGAAATCACTTAAAGTTGAAAATTTAGTATCTAAAAAGAACAATTAATTGAAATTAATGCGAATCTTAAGAATCTAGCTTCAAGCAAGCCAAGAAGAAGAAAAAGTTAATTAAAACATAGACATTATTAGATTAATGCATCTAAAACAAGTAATTAGAGCGATTCATCTAAAACAAGGAATTAAAACATTGACATTATTCTTTTATTTATTTATTTTTATATCACTTTTGTGTGTGTGTAGGTCGTTAAACAAAAAGTTCGCTCAGTGTGATAGTCTATTAGTGCCTCGTATTTGCCCACGACACACCCGTTCACAAAATCGTCACAAATGTACAAATTTATAAATATAAATTAGAGAGAAAAAGAGAAGGGGGTGTGAAGTGTAGGAAAATATTTTCCTAATATTGAGAGTCATTCATCTTCTTCAATATCACTTTTGTGTCACAATTTGTCTTTAATGTCAGTTAATTCGGAGTAGATAGTTTTCTTTGTAAATAAAGTTCAATGATGTGTCCCACTATCTTTTTTATACCATGTCTAAAGATTATATAACAAAGCTTTTTTTTGTGTATACACGTGATCAAATCTCTTTTCGGGCTCCATAGTTAAAGACACGTACCTTTGTTTTTCTTTTTCTTTTTTTTTTAGGTAAAGGACACGTACCTTTGTTGATCCAACCATTCAATCTAAATTCTTTCTAGTTTTGTTAAACTATCCATTGCCCATGAACAATTTGATTTATCAAAATATAATGATATTAATTTAAAAACCATTTATATATTTATATATATATTTTCTTTGTATATATTAGTTGAGCAGCAGTACATGATGTGGTGTGAAATTCTTTACTTGTTATTTCGGGAAAGATGGCGTTAATTAGTCGCCTAATTAATAAAAGGCACAATTTTCGAGCAGGTATATTTGTATTTCAGTCTTTCTCTTCTTAATTTGTCACGATAAAAATAATGATAATAATAATAATAATTCTTCGTGAATAAAAAAATAAAAAAATAAAAAGAGGAAAGCTAAATTAAATCACTAGGGAATTGGTGAGCTCAACATGATGCATGATGTGCTGATGACATTCTTGAGAGGTTCAGTTTTCTGCAATGTATCTACACCTACCCTTACACATAATATATATATATATATATCAAATTATTACACAACGCTCCAAATTTTGAAGATTCAACCCAAAAAAAACACCAGAAATCACAATTTTTATGCGGACAATGTCATTACAGGTAACAACTATCACATCTTAACCGTTCTAATAAATGAACCCCACACCGGAAGTGGTTCACATGTAACAGTACCTTGAATAAAAGCCCTCTCCCACAAAGTTGTAAGAAAGGGTACCCCGGTAACGGAGATGATCGTGGAGAGACTGTTCGGAAATGTTTGTGAAGAGACTATTTCTGATTTCATACCCGTGATTTCTAGGTAAACATCATTTCCCCCTCTACTATGCATGTGCATGTAAATGATGCAAGATCAATAGAATCCTCTCAAATAGGCCATTGAGAGCGTAATTTAAAAGAAATACTTTGATCATGATAATATAAACAAAATCCAACAAAAATTGTTTGGTAAGCGTTTTGTTTTTACTTTTTTTGGTACAAAATAAGTGTTTTGAATAATAATCGAAAGCATGTTTGGTAATTTATTTTTTGCAAAATTTTTGAAAGGAAAAATGAAAAAACATATTTGATATAAAAAAATGTTGCAAGTTTAAATAAATATAATGGCTAGTTTAAAAAGTCATTTCACAGTTTTTCAAATTTTTTTTTTATTTATTATTTTTTGTACGGTTCATCACAACAATAACCATTGCTACAGTGTAAAAATACAATATTGGTATTTTCGACTTTTGAACACTAATAACAAAACATTTTGGTACTTTACAAAATAAAATATTTTATTACCAAAAGCTTTTTTTTCCACTGTTCACTGTTATAATATCCAACAAAAACAAAAACACCAAAAATAAAACTGTGTTCCAAACAAGCCCTAAAAAGTATTCTTACATATATATATTAGCGAGTTTGCGTCGTCATCACGGTGCATTGTGCTCTAATGTCATCAATTACACAATTCAATATATATATATATGCATCCTCAATGAACTCACATTGTGTAATTGATGACATTAGAGCACAATGCACCATGATGAGGACGCGAACTCTCACTAAGAGCGCCATCATCACATTGTAGATCAAACATATCATCAAGTAGACATGAAGCACCATAACAATCAATCTCTGTAAACACCATTTATTGGTAAACACTCTTGTATTAATTTTTTTCACAGTTAAAGGTCACTCATAAACTTTTCACCTGCAACACCCGTGTTTCTGTAAAGTGCAGTTAGAACTATTCCAAAGCATTTATAAATGCTCTACCATTGTCTGTTTCAAATCACTCCAAAAAAATTTAGATATTTAGCTTTCAGAAATATATATATCTATCTATATATACATATATATCGAGAGATTTTTCAACAAAGCCATGTCAATAGAAGCTCTTGCAATGGCAGGTGCCGACTATAACAAGTGCAGAATCAACCTAGAAGAAATGGAACAAAGAGACTTGGAGAAGACACCACAGTATCTTCTGGATGATCAAAGATCGAGAAATGAGATTGACAAGTTGATGGTAGACAATGGCGGGCAAAGATACATGGAAGCTTGCGTTAAAGCCGCTGTTTCAGTTAATGCCACCCCATTTTCTATGGCGCCAATCAGGAAAACTGCTGAGAAAACTGGGAGGGAAATGCTTTTAAAAGTCTGATAAAAATGGCTCATCTCTTCTCATCTTACCTGTGTTTCTCATTACACAGAAACTAAAGCAATGTAGTAAATCAGAATAAACACCAAGACAGCTAGAAATATCACAAAAATGTTAGAAGTGAGTACTTGTATAGATGAGATATGTTCGAATGTGAACTTCAAACTTTTTTCTTCACTTATAGCTGCAATTTACGGTACCAAATTCTGTCACTTTATAATTTAGCTTCGGACGTCATTAGCAGCCTATTTAAAATTCAAGTCTAATGACTGAATGGTTCAGTCACAAGGATGATAGACAACAATTTTTATCTACTGAGCTAATGATGATACAGGGTTAGCGTTCAAATCAATTTATCAGGAGAGTTTTCATTTAGTACACGCATGCAATATATTTCTTACATATAAATGATGTATCGATCAATCCAGAATTTTCTACAACGGCGCAAAATTTACTATAGACAGGTTGGCAGCAGCCATTGTTTCCAAAATATTGAGAATAAAGCTTCATGTGGAAGGGTCCATCCTATTCTGAGTTTCACGCATGCACACAAACACGCTAATAAGAAAATAAATGAGAATAACGGAAATGAACAAGAAGATAAGGAACTGGTATCAGCAATGCATCGCATATGAAGAAAATGAAGGAATGCTTCATATGTAATGCGTATACAATTATGCTTTATCAATCAAGCTAACCTATTGCAATAAAATTATATACTATCTAGTTCTAATTTTTCCCGTTACCTCATCTTCCACCAGACAACTCCATAGCATCTTGGTTGTAATTAGTATCTTCTTGCCAGTTGAATCTTCTCTGTAGCCTCTCATACTCTTGCTTACGGGTAACTTCAACATGCTGCCATTCTTCCCACCTCTCAGCCAGCCCTTCTCCTTCCAGCATCCGGACCACTTCTGACATTGCTGGACGCTCCTCTGGTGACGATTGGGTGCAGAGTAATGCTACCTGAATCACCATCTCCACTTCATTGATGTTGTAGTCACTATTTAGGTTGCCATCTACTATAGCATCCAGTCTTTTTTCCCTCTCCAACTTCTTGACCTTCAAGCAGACATGAGCAGAATTTAAGCAGTAGGTACACAAAAGTTGTATGACTAGAGAAGCTAGATACAATATAAAAAAAAGGACACGTGTGGCTATCGGAAACCACAGAAATTTTACATTTGACATTCAATTTCCAGAGTTTCTTATGCGCATGTTTGTCATGTCAAACGGATTACCACCAAAAGAATTTGGGAGAAATGTTTCCTTCTAAGGGATCTGAATGCAGGGCTTTGAACTCTTGAAGAATAAGTCTTAGGGAAGAGAAACACAGGTTAACTAAAATGCAAACCAAAATGAAAAAAAAAAAATTGTGGTTTCCTAACGCATGGGAAATCGGCTTGCAATACTTAAAGCTAGTATAGACGTTTATGTGACAAGAAAGTAAGATCTACATATTTTTGGACAAGTAATATTGATGCACTATTCCAAAGTAAATAAAAGACAGCTTAAAGCTTGGCCACTTCACACCCGAAGTTACAATCTTTTAAATCTTCCCTAGTAAGAATTATACTGCAATTGAGCACGAGCATTCACACAAACGCACACACACATAAGGCACATTCAAACCAATATATTAACCCAAGGTTATCTTACATGGTCAAGCAATAAAACATCATCTTCTTCTTCTAGGCGTGCAAAGTCTATAGCCCGTTGACCTGTTACAAGCTCCAGAAGCATAACCCCGTAACCAAAAACATCTGTCCTCTCTGAAGACTTCCCAGTGGACAAGTATTCAGGCGCTATGTGACCCATTGTCCCGCGAACTTGAGTTGTCACATTAGTCCTCCTCACATCCACCAACTTTGCCAGGCCAAAGTCACCAACAACTGCTTCAAAATCTTCATCTAGTAATACATTAGCAGCCTTGACATCCCTATGGATAATCTTGGGATTACAATGTTCATGAAGGTACTCCAGCCCACGTGCTGTGCCTATAGCCACTCTTTTTCTTGTAGACCAATCTAAAATGGGTTGCCCTGGTTTAAGCTCTGCATTCAGTGTTCAGGATTAGTCAAGCATACCACCAGAAATTTAAAACATCACCAAATTCACAGAAGAAAATTAGGCATTGAACTGAATAAGCTTCCTATTATGATTTCAGAAATAGTACCTTCTAAGAGGTGCACGTAATTCATAGTCCACAATGTATGATTATTTGAACAATTTTGCTTTGAGGATATGTAGTAAAGCATTAATTGAGAAAGTGTGGGTAGCATTTAAGCTGATGATAATGGTCATGATATGAGAACTGGTAAAGTCCATCATGCCAAGTGTTTCCAAAGAAATGCAAGTCCTCCTCTTTCGTTATTTAACTGTTATTAAATACCTTCGTCCGTGTATGTTAGAACAACCAAAAGAATAGAATTTGCATAGCTTAACAGCATTTTTCCAAGATGATGATCTAACTGATTCTTAGAGATTTGCTTTCATGGAAACTGAGGCATGATGACGTTTATAGTGTTGAAGAATTTAAATATTAAAGTTACACCATCTATGACAACTTAAGCTTTTAGAGTAAATGGTTGTTAACATGGTATCAGAGCAGGCAAGGTCTTGTTTTCAAACCTCACCGTCATCCTGATAATTAAAAAGGTAAATTACATTGACAACTCTTGAGGTTTGTTCTAATTACACATGGTGGTCGAAAATGGGCTACTTACACTGTCACCCCCTTAGAATTGGTGCATGTTCAATGAACCCCCTCCCAACCTTTGGCCATTATACCATACTGCCGCATGTGATGGCTCTACAGGACCCCAACTATAATAATTAGGTTCGTACTTGCCATTCACTTGTCTTAGGGAACAGCGTCAACTAGCTGTTAAAACAGTTATTAAATACTTATGTAAAGACTGAAGTGCCCTTTAGTTTTTTAAAAATACAAAATTACTAAAAAAATCTCACATTTCTCTGTGTGTGAAAAACTCCAAATCCTTTATTCCTACTTCATCATTTCAAAAAAACCTAATATATATATGTATATATTTGTGTATATCCATGGCCAAGGTTAGCTCAAACACTTGCTCCATGGCCAAGTTCATCTCTAATGTCTCAAAGACTTGTACCATCTGCGCAATTCCAACCTATGTTACATGGACTCTTCGAAAGTAGTGAAGTACCCATGTCAGACACAAATTGCTAGGACATGGATATGGGATATGTGTCCCGACACTTTTGGTTGGACATGTACTTAAAAAGCATATCCAATAATTCAATTTTATTATATTATACTTTAAAATGAGTTAATTGTCTATATTGAACACTTTGTTACATGCAAACTTTACTTTAGTCAAGAAAAAAAAATGAATATTTAGCAGTGTTGACGTGTCCTTTAGTTTGGAGATTTGAAATATCTAACACACGGATACAAACCTGTATCCGACACACGTATCCAAGTCCATGTAACACGAATTCCAACACAGCTAACAGGATATAAATAAACAAAATATCGAATCCAAAAATCTCCAGATCTAAGAACCAGCACCCAGTATGCATATACATATATATATACACAAACACGCATATACAATTCAAGAATACACAACAAATCCACCTGGTAGTAAATCAATATGGAAAAAACAACAATTACTATGTAGACATATGGTTTGATGGCAAATCTTTGCAAATGCTTCATGGTTTAGGTATGCCCAAGTTTATCAATAAAGATTTTGAAAGACCTCGTTGTATTTCCTCCATCAATGGTTCCCAAAAATAAAAGTCTAAATTTCAACCCAAGTAATATATCATCTTCAAGGATCTTCGCTATTATTCATTCCTTCTCACCTAGAATTATCAGTTTTAGATAATTTTCAACAAAAAGCAAAATAAAACAGGTAGTGAATCCCATTTCTCTCTCTTTCAGTACATGTAGTCATGTGTTCGCCTCCCTCAAACTTTTATAAACCGGTACCAACACCACCTAAGGATTCAATTGGCATTTCCATTCATTATTGCCTTGTATCAAATGGCATTTCCAAAAAGTGTAGCATAACGAAGAGAGATGACCCAAGAGTTCTCTCTCCTTTATGAGAGGGATTCGAAGAAAGGAACGCTTTGTTCTTTCAGTGAATCATCGGTGGAGGATTATTGATTGTTGAGGCTTGATTTTTATTTGGGTTAATTCTTTGGTGGTCACTGCCATTGATTTTGCAAGAAAATGCCAATGGGATTTGACCGGATATACAAGCTTTTGCCGACAGAGAGAATGGGGGAGGTGAGAGGGTGGGATTGCGTGAATTAAAATTATTGTAGGAGTATTTTTTTTCATTTAAAAAATAAGGGGAAAGTATGACATTTTATAAGTTTCTTTTAACGTCGTAAGCTTACTGACGTCAATAAGGGATCATAGTAATTAAGGTCATTTTACACTACCCAGTGTAATTTAGAGCAAACCTCTGGGGGTATCAGTGTTTTTTAACCTAATTAAAATTGAAACGCGTGTTAGACCAAAAGAAGGCCACATGTGAGGGGGCGTGTTGAAGGATTTAAATATTAAAGTTACACCCTCTCTAACAGCTTAAGCTTTTAGAGTAGATGGTTCATAACATAAGAGGAACCATTGTCAAGGATGTCGTCGAAAATAAGCTTTCCAGGGAAGAAGGCACTCTGCAGTTCCCCAATAAGAGTGTTTAGAATAGGCTTAAGCCTATTCGTAATATGGCCTTTGAAAATATCTTATAGGCAACATTACATAATGCAATAGGCCTAAACCGAGAAACTTTAGAGGAATAATTATTTTTGGGGAAAAGGACAATAACTGTGTGATTCAAGCTACTTAGCATAAAGCCAGAATGCAGGACACTGGAAGAATGAACTAAATCAGACTGTAGAATATCCCAGTCTCTTTGAAAGATGAAAGAGTTCAACCCGTCAACGTTAGAGGCTTTCAAAGGACCCATTTCCGTGACTGCAATTCTCAACTCTTCCCTAAGCTTCTAAAGGCGAATGTCACCAGCTACTGTTTATCAATCTTCAACTTCTTGAGCTTCATGCTACATGCTATGCCTCCTGGTGCAGCTTGACCTTCAAACCCAATTTCTTCACAACTTCTGCTGATACTAAATTATTCCAATTCTTAGCGTACATGGAGATCATACTATTTATCGACCTTCAACTTCTTGAGATCCATGCCACCCCATGCCTCTAGGTGTGGCTCAACCTTCAAACCTGATTTCCTCACACAACTTCATTACATTAAACTATGCCTCAAGGTGTGTGGCACCTTTAGAGATTGTAATATCTTCATTCGATGGAAAATCCAATCTCATATCCAACCCAAAAAATTGTCCAGTGTGCTCTTCCAAAAACATGCTCCCTTGCATAAGTAGGGTAAATTGCAAGTGAGCTTCTTGCTTGTAATTAGCCAGTTCAAAGTAGTGAGTCATAACATCTTCATGAGATCCCATGATCTAATGGCAAAAAATTATTTTGTTGGTATAACCTATATGAAAAAAGACTGCACATTCATCAGATGGTACCACCTAAAGAAACTTCTAAGCTCTGCAGCCAATCAAAAATTACTTCTGATTGTTATTTTCCAAAGTGATATACGCAGTGGATATTAGCGAGTGGTGACTCTGTACATTAATATACTATAAGCTATAAATATATACATAGGTGTCAGCACATGTATGTTTGACAAACTCTTATTCTCTCTTATGCTCCACTCTCTCCGTTTCTCTCTGCTAAAGATTTGTGATATAATAACAGAGCATATTGAACCCCAGCTTCAATCTTCCTAATCTTGTCTCCTTTTTCCCTTTTTCTCTTTCTTTTTCCTTCCTGTTCTATCAACCACCCAACAAGTTCTAATCCAGGTGCAGAGGTGTTAAAGCCGTAACAAGATCTGAAGAGCATTGCCAGTAGATTGTACAGACCTGCCCATATGTTGTAAGGACTTTTGTACAAGTGGGCCCACACATATAATTAGATTTGTAATCCTCGTTTAAATCTCTAGTTAAATCATTTTGGAGCTTTTAATGGGCCAAAACCCTATTATTAATTTCCAATACTTGGATTCAACTTGATTGTGCTGATAAACTTAAGTACCGCATTTAATTATAAGTATGACAGACACATATCCAACAGAAGCTTGAACCTTGTACTAAAGGAGTCATCACTCTAAGTTTAGGCAATTAGCGGTTTTATATCATAGGAAAATCAGAGAATGCAAGGGTGATGCTTATTACCAGCTGGGTTTTAGTACACAAAGTTAGTAGAAATAATTGGAGACAACAAAAATGAGTATGTGTATCGATAATCATATGTACCAAATATATATATGTACATATTGTGCTGAGCAAAACAAGGAAGAAGACTTCTAAAAGATGGTTACCAAAAATTTAGAATAGCACTATTTAACAACCCATAAGAAGAAGCTTAATAAATGGTAAAGAATATAGCAGTATTAGTATAGATTATAAAGTAGCGAGTTCAATCCTATCACTAAAATTATATGCAAAACTTAACTCCTAAGTTGAGTATTTAATTTTCTGGTGAAGGGCGTATCTAAGAAACAACCAATCAATTTTTTTTTTGATAAATAAAAAATTTTATAAAAAAACACTCCAAGGGGGAGCGGAACCCAAGAACAATACAAAAAGCCACTCAATCCTTCAAAGAGGCCAAAAAATCAACAATTTCCTCCAAAGATCTATGATCTCTCCCTAAAACCCAACAAAAAAGAGTGGAAATAATCGAGAATTTAAGCACCGAAATCGACATCGCCTTTCCTTCAAAATATCTCATATTCCTTTCAAGCCAAATGCACCACCATACACAAAGCGGTGTAGCCCTCCACGCATCCTGACTGTGAGTCCCCATAGGGCAACCTCTCCAAGCCTCAATCAACCCTCTTGTAGATCTAGGCATAACCCAATAAAGCCCAAATAAGCCAAGCATCAAATCCCAACACTCTCTAGCCACATAGCAATGAATGAGAAGGTGATCCACTGATTCCTCATTACGAAGGCACATAAAACAACGATTGATCACCACTTGGCTTCTCCTTCGCAAATTATCCTGGGTTAGGATCTTACCCATAACCGAAGACCACACAAAGAAAGCCACCTTGAGAGGAGCCTTGGAGCGCCAAACAGACTTCCAAGGAAAACGAACATCAGGATCAAATGAGAGACACTTGAAGAAGGACCTCACCTCAAAACGCCCATGAGAGTTTGCTACCCAAGACCAACAATCCGAATCCTCCTCCACAATCCTTTGGCGATAAAGCAACTCCAAGAAGCGAATGACCTCCTCGATCTCCCAATCCTAAAAGTGACGCTTGACACGAACATCCCAAACCAGTCTCCCATTATCAAGATGATAACAGTTGACCACCATGGCCTGCCTATCCGAAGCAATCCTGTAAAGCTGAGGAAAAGCGAGAGCGAGAGGAACATCTCCACACCACACATCCTCCCAGAAGCAAATCCTCCTCCCATCTCTAAGACGAAATCGAATGTGTTTAGAGAATTCATTGGTGCAGTATCGGTGTGTGTTCTTACCTATCAAAAAAATAAAAATAAAAATACCAAGATTATATGCATGTACATATAGGACATACATAAACTCAACTCAAGAAAACCTTGTCCCAACTATTTTGGTTTAGCTATGTGAATCATTTTTTCCTCAAGGCCATGACTCAGTTAGACGTTAACACATCTTTTTCTACCATCCAAAACCATGATAATCTTAGTGATGTAGGACAAAAGAACAGCCCCAAATAGTTGAAATAAATAAGAATTATCGCTGAATGTTCAAATGATAGGATTGGGGTTCAAGAGGTGTTGGTAGAAAGAAAAGATTGAAAACAACAAAAATTTATTAGAATCACAGCAATAGGGCCTAGGTATCACAACTCCTAGAGAAGGCCTCACACCCGCAAAATTTGTGAATCACTCACAAAGAAATCTCAAAGGATATTTTTTATTCATTCATTCACTCCATCATCAGAGTTACATAGTATCCCTTTTATAACAATTGATGACCCTTGGATTACCCCATAATCGAGGTAATCAATAGTTGACTCTAGAATAATAAAATTAATCACCCCATAATTGAGGTAATCAATATTTGACTCTAGGATTACTCCATAATTGAGGCAATCAATACTTGACCCTTAGATTACCCCATAATTGAGGTAATAAATACTGACCCAATAACATAATTAAAAGTTGACCAACACTCCCAATTATTCAAAACTCCCACATGGACCCATATTATCTAACCTATGCCAGCTCGAGTCTTAAAATCTAAAAGGCGCTAAAAGGAGGATTCTAAGATTCGAGTCGGCATAGGCTAGATAATATGGGTCCACATGGAGTTTTGAATAATTTGGAGCTTTGGTCGACTTTTATTTACTTTAACTATGCTATTAGGTAAGTATTGATAACCTCAATTATGGAGTAGTCCAAGGGTTAATTGATTGCCTCAATTATGGGGTAATCCTAAAGTCAAATATTGATTACCTCAATTATGGGGTGATTACATTTATTATGTTAGAGTCAAGTATTGATTGCCTAAATTAAGGGTAATGAAAGGGTCATAAGATGCTATAAAAAGGGTATAATATAATCTTGGTGAATCAATGAATGAATGAATAAAAAATATCCTTTGAGATTTCTTTGTGAGTGATTCACAAATTCTAAGGGTGTGGGCCTTCTCTAGGTCTGATACATAGGCCCTATTGGTGTGATTCCAATAGGTTTTTGTTGTTTTCAATCCTTACTTTCTACCAATGCCTCTTGAATCCCAATCCTATTCATTTGAACTTTCAGCCATAACTCTTATTTATTTCAACTATTCAAGGCTGCTTTTTTGTCCTACATCAATTTTTGGTATTAGAGCCTTAGTAGACATTATATTTACACGATCATGAAACGAAAGATTAGATAATAATCAAGAGATTGAGTTGTTGTCACATATTGTGGAACAACTTAAAGGGCTGAAAGCTCGATGCGATGAGATAGGAGCTCGAATTTCATGGCCTTTTAACAAATCGGTAGCTCTTGAACAAGGATCTGCATTTGGTACTAATGATGGCAGAAACCTCAAGCAACAACAGCCTTTACACTCCCAAAAAAGGTGTAATTTGAAGGCTGATCCACCACTCCATCCCGTGTTGGAATTTCCAAGAAATCCATTAGTGGTGAATCATCATGAGCCACATGATGTTGCTGGAGATGTTACAAAGAAGTTAAGTGATAGAACTCGCCGCACACAAACAACAACAATGCTGCCAAATGGTGGATCAAAACCATCTTTCTCTAATATGGCTGTTCTTGAAGGAAAGAGTATTATGGCTAGCAAGGTTAATGAGAACCTGCTTGACCATGGAACCTACAACACTGATGATCCAGAAAAGGATGAAGAGAATGTTCCATCCATCTCTATTGAGAGGCACATCCTTGCAGTCCCTAATGTTGAAGACGAAGATGGGCAGCTCACCTCTAATTTTCAGATGCAAGTTCGTTGTGGAAACCAAGCTCGGAAGCCTACTATTGATGGCGGTGGCTGCACACGTGGTCTCCATAGACACGGTTGAGCGCCTCAAGCTTTCGATCCAACCACATCCACAACCTATCAAAGTGGCTTGGATAGATGGTACTTCAATCCCAGAAGCTTTTGGGGGGCTCAGGGGAAGATATACTCAGTACCATGCTGCATAAAAAACATCTGAAGGCTGTTGGAGTAGAATTTCCACTCCCGTTGCTTACACCACAAATCCAGCCAGCGGTTCTCCCTGCTTCACCATCTGAGGAAGCTGCTATTCAAGCCTCTCTTCAGTTCAATGCTTCTGGACTCAGCTTGGCAGGGATTCTAAATGCTCAGGGACTAACGGATTGGTTAATGGAAATGCTTGGTGCCTTGGATGGTAAGAATCGTGAGGGCACAAAGCAAGAGGTGATTGTTGACTTTGTTGATCATTGTCATTCTCACCAAAATTTGTTGACCATGTTATGATACTTGTAAACAATACCGCAGATGAGGAGCTTCTATGCAAGAAATTTGCGTTGAATGATAACTTGCAGCGTGTTCTTTGCCAGCACATTAACATTGCAAAAAGAAACTCGAGTGTGGAAGTTGGAATGATAGAGATTGCAGTTGCACCTTTTGTGAACGTGAATCACGAGGATCACGAGTCAAGAGATGATTTTGTTCTTGGCTTGCCTAGAACTATTGTAGGACATGATGCTATATCTATCGTTGTGAATCGTTTTTCAGAAATGGCACATTTCCTCTTGTGTTCTAAGACTTCTAATGTTGTCTACATTGCCAAACATTTTTCCCAAGATGTTGTCCAACTTCATGGGTTGCACATCACAATTGTTTCTGATCGAGATGTGAAGTTTACGAGTTATTTTTGGCGCAAATTATCGAAGTGGCTGAATACAAGGCTAAAATTTTCTTGTTCTTTTCACCCACAAACTGATGGCCAAATTGAGGTTTCTAATCGCAGCTTGGGTGACTTGCTTTGTTGCCTTGTTGGTAACCATATTACTAGTTGGGACCAGATTCTTCCTATGGCTGAATATGCATAGAATAGTTCTGTAAAAAGGACCACCGGGCGCAGCCCCTTTGAAAATGATTCAGTACCTTTACTAATTGAGGCACGCCCTAGTGCTGAAGTTGATGCTTTTAGTAAGCATATCCAAGATATTCAAGTTGAAGTTCAAAGGAAGACCGGAGTCTTAGAATCCTCATTTTTGCGCCTTTTATACACCCTTAAAGATTTCTGCCATTGGTCTCCATCACTTAGTCTTCACCTTCTCCGAATATTAAGCTCAATGTGTACCAGGTCACTCACTCTTGCATAAAGATTATGCATATGAAATTATATTTAAACAAAAATAACAAAAAGAAAGAAAAGGAAAACGATAAATTTCTGAAAAACATCAAACAGCAGCCCATCTTGACATAAAACAGATGAATGAACTAATACCTCGAAGACGACAGGCAACACTTAAGTTCTGCATAAATGGATACACTAAAAGGCGTTCAGTTGGTGTTGTACAGAAACCAATCAGCCGTAATAGGTTCCTGTGAACAGCTACACTTATCATTTCAACTTCACTCTGGAACGCAGCATCTCCACCAGGACTGTCAAATTCACTTAAACGTTTCACAGCAACTTTGGTGTTATCTGAAAGCACTCCTTTATAAACTTTTCCAAAACCTCCCTGTCCAAGGACATTTTTCTCATTGAAGTTGTTTGTAGCTAGCTGTAATTCCCTCCATGCAAATCTTCTCAATTGGCCAAATGGAATTCTACGGTCAACTTCACCTAAGCACACTCAAAAAAATCCAACATCAAATTCCCAAAGCAATTGAAATAGCATATAAAGTCAAAACCTTAATTATATTCTAAGAACAATTCATGAAATAGCTACGGCTTAATACACCTGGACAAGATAAAAACTAAAAGTATCAAAGACAATGTAAACTAATAACCATACGCCATGTGGCGCCTATTAATGACAAAATAAGATAGAGTAGACTAAGGTAGTATGTACATATACATAGAAGACCTATAGATGCCCTGGTAAGAAGAGGGAGACTAATATGCATATAGAAGATAGGAGACAGATAGGTGACCAAGAATAACATGGGATGAATTTATTAGGAACAATTTTGAAAAAGCTAAATGTTATAGGATAAATGCTTGTAATAGAAAGGAATGATAAAAGATAATTTATGCGGCCGATCCCATACAATAAGGGGGGGATTAAGGCAAGAATGGCAATGACAAAGATGTGAAACCAACTAATTTAATTTCAAATGTCATGGTTACAATAAGCAATTCAATTAAAAAACACAAAAAATAAATGGTTTCTAGTTTCCTTTAAAAAAATGGTAAGTTTGCAGATATAAAACTATGAAAATCAAACTAATTGCAACATATTTTACATTCATTGATACTTTTTTTAGCAAAAACAAATATAAAAAATGTTTATGCTTTTAGATACTCCCTTGGCTTCTATAACCAGCCACTTTAAAGTTCAACTTTTCAGCACAAAGCATTAATGCAATGACCAATGCAGGAATTGCAGTAAATCAGAGTTGAACTCACAAGTTACTACAGATGCTCATCAATCTGAAAATAAATCAGTGTATATTACTATTACTTGAAACTGAGCCCCCTATTGGCTAAAATACCGAGCACTACACTCTTTACTTGACTAGGCCATTGTATAGGGTTACTCCTTGTTTGTATATAGTATAAACTGCACAACCAACAGAGTAGGTTTCTTTGCTTGATAACTAGTGTTGGCAAATATTCCAGGCAGATCCCCCCCTTCAGTCACTAATAGTCCCCCAGAATTTAGAAGCATTTCATGGAAGAGTTATATCAGGCATAAAAATAGTTAGTGATTTAATCTAATAACTTTATGGATCATAAATATGATCCACAAATCCTGCCTTATAATGTTGGAGTTGAGGCTTACTAATTCTGGCTCTGGTTCCTATATGTAAAGAATACATCATGAAACCCAAAGAAGAGGGATAACGGATCCATGGATTTCAAGTAGGCCTGTAAATATAACAGGATCAAACTGGATAAGGGTATATCGAAATATAGTCTTTTACTATATATTTTTCTCCAATCTAATTCAATGTTAAAATGGAGTAAAAAAATAGAGTTCAAAATGTTTTATACCTGTTTGTTATGTTATGAACTTATGATAGAATGGTGGGATAGAAACATTTATTTGTTTGTTATTTAGATTGGAGTTTTAATGATCTGATCATCTGTATTTGTCTTTGTCTGTCAGGTACTAATTGAACTCAGATGACAAGTAAATCGTCAAAACAAAATTCGATGTCAAATTCAACTAAACTGGTGGGGGGATTTGAACTCAAATTTTGCCTGTCCATTGAAATGATAAATTTTATTAACAGTAACATAATACCATGCCAACATAAAAGGAAGACCATAATCCTCCATCTAAAGTATCCTCTTTACGAGAAAACATAAAAAAATCTAAAAAATGAGTATTAGGGTTAAAAAACAATGCTTCTAGAAAATTATAGATAGAAAATTAACCTAGGAGTTGAACATGCTAGCATTAATAATACAATTAAAGGACAATCAAATGCAACACAAATGAAATTCTGAAAATTAAACAAGTTAAATCAAAAAATCTCTTGAGAACTTGCCAAAAGACAATTTCATATGACAAAAGTGTAATCTGTATTACATAAACAGCCTAAGCATGACATAGGGGAAAAAAACAGCCTAAGCATGAAGGAAACAGGGACTGTGTTACTACAACTAATGCAGTGAACCAAGAACAAAACAAGAATCACAACAGAAAAATAAACACGTCACACACAAAGAACACACAGATTTACATGGTTCAGCTTAAGTCTATGCCTACATCAACGGTGAAGCTCCGGCAAAAGATTTCACTATGCAAAAAATAGAAGATTACAAGTTTCGGCCCCCAAACCCTAGCTCCCACTCTCTTTGTACGATTTTCAGTGCTCTCTCATTATCCCACTCCAAACCCTAAACGCCCTTATATACTGGGCGACAAGAGAGCACTAAACATGGTCCACGACCTGCAAGTGAAAAAAAAAAAAACAGGTCAAAAAGTTTTCCTCTGGGCTTCCCCTGTACCCGGGCCAGAACAAAATGGACCACGACATCACACTAAGGTTTTAGTCACAGCATTAAATTGAAATAAGGACAATGGTTTAATCATAGTATCAGGTCCTCCCCTGATTTTCATGCCAAAGTTTTCTAAATCACTAGCAAACCCCTGAAAAGGAAGTCATTGACACATGATACTTAAATGATTTCCATTATTTTTCATCAATTTCATGAGTCATAGAAAGATTTTACCGACTAGTATTAAGCACTTAAAGTCTACAAACTATTACTCTGTCAACTAGTGCTAAGTACTTCAGTTTGCTAATTATTAACTAGTCTTATAATCTTAAATCATTTACCAATCAAACAAGTATGGTTGAGAGTATCAGTCAAAGCAAAATGGTAATCAAATATCCATAACTTGAATTATTTTTGTTCACTAACAATCTCCCAAAAAGTTGTCGATACACGTGTTTTTTTAAACCCAATTTGTCAGATCTTTGTAAGCAAATGTATGAGCCTTAGAAATATTTTAACTTATTACATTGGACTTTATCTCAGTCTTAAGTCAAATTAAGAAGAAAATATCATCCCTTAAGAGAATATGTTAACAACTAAATTGAGTGATAACTATAAATGCAACTAAAATTCTGAAATAAATAAATCAACAAATAAATAAATAAAAGACTTGTTGGTGGAATGACAGTGCCAATACTTTACATAAATGGAAACTCTGGTAAATAAATTATTACGTAATTTGTTTATAACATTGTTTTACTAACTACTCTTTGGACTACTAGAGACTCATTACACTATAATAGAAACCACTGTTTGGTGCACTAATGAAATGTTCCGACTTTCAAGTGTGAGGATGCAGGTTCAAATCGTTAAAATAGTCAAATTAGTACAAAAATGCCAAATGTTAAGGTTGTGTCCAGTCCACCTCCAACTGGCAGCACCCCGATTAATCGGGACCACTAGGTAATAACCATTATGCTATACATATTACATACTCATGATAATTTATTTAAAGTTCACATTAAACAATTACTAGTTTGGTGCATCTAATACTAAGAAAATAGAAAGAAAAAAAAAATGCTAAGATTTGGAAAACATTGATCAAGATAACAAAATCTTAGTTCTCTTAACAGAGATCTATATAAATAGCCATACAGAATTCATTCTACACTATGTTTAAAGGGGAAAATAAAAAAACGAAAGCCCAAATAGAATATATTAGACCTTAAACACCCATATCTTAGATCTGAAGATAACCTTAAACTTCTTAAAGGAAGTGGGAAAATGAAGTCTAATACCATCAAATCTTGGTTTTGATCAGGTCAGAACATAACAACCATCATATATAACCATAAGCTACAGAAACTGTAACATCCGTCACACCCCATTACTGTTCTGTAGCAGGTGTTACATACATGAACTTATATGAACTTTTACTCTCCCCAATTTATCATGTTATAATGGTAACTGCTCTTAGAAAGCAGTTATGTATTACATAACGGCTGATAGTTAACAAGAAGCTCTTAACATCCATCACACACCATTACTGTTCTGTAACAGGCTGTGATGTCGTGGCCTGAATTTGGCCCTGGGTCGCGTTGCGAACAGTTTTACGACCCGATGACCCGTTGATTATTTGTTGACCCGTTTTTTGGTTGTAGGTCGTGGACCTTATTTAATACTCTCTTGTAACCCGATATATAAGGGCGCTTAGGGGTTTGGAGTGGGAAAATTGAGAGACTGAAAATCACAGAAAACAAAGTGAGAGCGACAGCTAGGCCACAGTGCACTTGGCAAGCAGTAGTTGGTTTAGTCAGTCTCATCACTCTTTTGGGGGCTGAAACTTGTAAACTTCAGATTTTCACAAAGTGAATTCTTTCACCCGATCTTCACCGTGGATGTAGGCTTTGCCGAACCACGCTAAATCTTTGTGTGTGGCGTGTTCATTTTTCTGTCGCTAAATCACTGCGTTTGTCGTAACACAGGTGTTACATACATGAACTTTTACTCTCCCCAATTTATCATGATACAATGGTAACTACTCTTAGAAAGCCATCATGTATTACATAACAGCTGATAGTTAACAAGAAGCTCTAAAGTGTTAGAAACTAGATAAAAATATATATATATAAAATAAAAGGAAAAACAAACCCGCATTGTGTTGGTTGAGAGCCAAAACCTACTAGTATTAGAAGAGCCCTAAAAATAAAGCAATTACTTTAGAGGACTTAAATATACTATCATATCCATCAACTATTTATTTTAAAATATATATATAAATGAGAATCGTGCTATTTAAAAATATATATTAAGCCTAGGAAGCACGGACACTCCAAAATGGGCGAAGAATCCGTGTCCGACACGTGTCGGACACGAACACGTGTCAGACACGCCCCGACACGTGTCGGACACGCCAAAAAACGTGTCTGGAATTTTTTATTTTTTTTGAATTTTCGGACACGACTCAGACACGGCACGGACAAAAAGGATTTTTTTTTTTTTTTTTTTTTTTTGTACTACCCTTTTGGTATTGTAAATGGTAAAAGTCCTAGGTCAAATGATGGATAGGAATAGATGATAGTACACTGACTTGTTTTTGTATCTTTTTTGGGGACTAGCCTTTAGGTTTTTGTGAATGTTAAGTGCTAACAGTAAAGTCCTAAATATTAAACAGTCATGAATGTTAATAGTCCTTTCTATCTATGCTTTTGTATTTGGAGTAAAGTTGCAATGATGATTAAATGATACTAGTTATTATTCTAATGTCTTGTTTTTTATTTGGTTTTATAACTCTGCAACATTGTTCTTTTATAGTTTATTAGTTATGAGTTATGATTTGTGTTTTTTTTTCATTGTGAGGTTGATGAAAAATAGTAACACTCAGTAATTTTTGAAGTACTACATCATATATATATATATACACACACTATTCGCCGTGTTCGTGTCCTAATTTTTTTGGATTTGCCGTGTCGCCGTGTCGGTGTCATGTCGTATCCGTGTCCGTGCTTCTTAGTATTAAGCTAACTTCCCCCATTGGGCTTCCTATAATAGCGCAAATGTTATTGATATTTATTTATTTCTCAAAATTATACTTGAGCCAAGTATATATTAGTAGAATATCATGTCAACTTAACCAAGTAGACCTGTAACCTCTTTTGGACCAAAACGAGTTCTCATCAATTGTGACGTCCCACATCTCCTCGGGGGAGAGGTTTGATGATACTTATATGTGTTGACATCCTTTAACTGTGTAGACGCATTTCAAAAACCGTGAGCACAGAGAGTGTGAAAAGCGGACAATATCTACACGGTGTGGGAGGGTCGTGACATCAAATCAACCCAAAACTTGGCAAAGTCAAATAAACTCATCAAAGTTTCAGGTTAACTTGTTGACATGATATGGAATGATCCTTAAATTTTTTGTAATTGTTTGTAACAAAAGAACCAAATACAGTATAAATCACCATCCACAAAAAGTAAATGAAATGCCAGTAGGTGATATACTCCCAGCAAAACCACATACCTCCATTTCGAGACAACAACAACAACTAAGCCTTTTCCAATTATTTGACGATGGCTACATGAATCCCATGTTTCCATTCCGCTATGTTTAAGGCCATAGCCTCAGTCAATCCACATGCTATCATATCTTTCTGTTAATTCACATGCTATCATATCTTTCTTTACTAACACTACCCATGTTGCATGTACAAGAGGGATGAAGAGTCAGTTAATCATCTTTTGTTGCATTGCCTCGTGACTAGGGATTGCTTTTGGCCCTTTTCGGGGTTCAGTGGGTTATGCCTCGATCTTCGTTAGGCATGATTGAGGTTTGGTGGGGGTGTGTAGTGGCGCCCTTGTGCATTTGGTGGTGCTTATGGAAGGAATGGAACAGGAGATCCTTCGATGGGGAGGAGACACCTATTGGGGCACTGAAATTCTCTATTCTTGGTTCTCTTTTTTGATGGGTTTCTGGGAGAAATTATAAATCCATGGGGGAGATGGTTGATTTGTTGGACATATTGAGCAGCTGAGGGCCTTATCTGGTCCTTGCTTGTTTCTTTTGGGATGTGTTCCCTTTTGTACGTTTTCTAATACAATTTTACTTATCAGGAAGAAAATAAAAACCTCTACCCACATGCCTCCATTTCAAGAAACGACAAATATTCAGCAAGCAATAAATTCAAAAAAAATTTGCATGCATAACAAAATTGGCATGTCATCAATCTGTTCATAAACTAACAAGGAACACAAACCTGCAACATCTACAAAAACTTCACGCTTGTAGCCTTTTTGCCCTCTCTTCCATAAAAACAACAGCACAGCTCCAAAAAGAATAAGACCCAAAAACCCGCCAACAATCCCAAGTATTCTTCCAATCCTTGGTTTACGTGAAGTATCTGCCAGATGGCAAAGTTATCACACTAAGCTTGTCTTAAAAAGGAAATTTATGCAGCTGCGCATTTACAATTTTATATAGCAGAGTCATCTGAAAAAGCTAATGCATTTACCGCCGCTGACAGATTCACAAGGGTGGGAGAAATTCATGCCACAATTCAATTGGTTCCCTGTAAAACTGCAATGAACAGCTGAAGTCAAATCAATTTCAAGGCCGGCGAATATGAGAGAGAGAGAGAGAGTGTGTGTGTGTGTGTGTGTGAGAGAGAGAGAGAGAGAGAACAAAGAATCAGAGAATTATCAAATCACTGAAAAGTTCACTGGTGCATGATACTGTCTAAACCAGCAGTTGATATCATTTTAAAGTATAACGATGGTCATACTTGTAATTTGAAACTTGGAATAAAAGCTCAGGTATTTGACCGCTGAGACCATTCGAAGCAAGCTGACTGCAAAGGAAGTTTCAATTATGCGATCAAAAACTGACAAAAGGAGTCCAATTGTACAAACTCACATGGATAATCTCTTGAAATTTAATGTTAGGAGCAATTTAACTCAATTTGATAATAAATCAAGAGGCAGATTCTTAAATAGAGATACCATTGTGCCTCATGAGGGAGTTAATCACTTACAGATTACTCAAGTTTGGAAGACTTGAAAGTGATTCAGGAATAGCCCCTGTGAGATTGTTTTGATTCAAAAACCTGCTTGCATAATCAAGTAAAGCACACAGTAAAATTATGAAGATAATGCTACGAAAATGCTAATAAATGCAACAATTATTACTTACAAGAACTGAAGCTTCTTAAGATTGCCAAGGGATGGTGGTATTTCACCAGTTAAATGGTTACTTTCCAAATTTAACATTGTCAGGCTTGTCAAATTTCCAAACTCTTTTGGTATCCCACCAGTTATTCTGTTTCCTTGCAATAAACTGCATGATGAATGCAGCTGATTATTATCAACTAATCAATATTGAATACTGGAGTAGGTGGATATAAGGGTTACAAGTATCTCATATATCTGCCACTACATAAAGGAAATAAATTCAAAAAGAAAAGTACTTTGACCCCAAAGAAGCCATGTGCCAGAACTAGTCCAGTGCCAAAATGGTTTTTCCCAGTAAATATGCATATCTCTAATCCAGAGAGTGAATATTGACCATTGTTTCCTCATAATATTACATGAAAACCACATAAAGGATTGAAAAATAAAAATGTTTAGGACAATTACACATTGATAATTGTATGTGTTAACCAACTTCAAATCTCAGAATCCTCGGTAAGAAAGCCTAAAATTAAAATAAAATAAATCAATTTTAACTTTTTTAAGTAACAATATTGTTTCCCTAATCGTACATGCATTAAAGTCTAAGAGCAGCAACTTTGTGCAAACAATGCCACAGATTAATTTGTATCTAGTCTAGCCCTCCCAACATGCCACATAATCGAGACAGGCATTGGTTAAAGATCTTTTCTGTTAACAAACGTCATGTAACTGAAAATATTCTATCCTTCCAATCAAAACATAATACCAAGGACACTAACTACAGAAATCTCAAAATTGAACAGTAACTAATAAAAGTGTACTTTCACGTTCTCTAATTATTATTGTGTCAATAGTTGGAATTAATTAACACATAATTTAGTCAATGAGTTATGTGGATACATAATTTGTGTAATACATGTATTTTGCATAATTTGCCCTATTTTCTAGGTAGTCCTCTTTATCAGCTGGAGAAGGAAAAAAATATTAATACTTCAAAAAAGGTATGAAGTTTATATCTAGACAGATGACATAAATATTGTGTTTCTGTGTAGGTCAGGCATCCAACAGAAGTGAGCTCATGGAGTCAACTCAATATTCCTATGGAAATAAATGATTGTTGGATCCCCAGTTCTAACAAGACTTGGTGATTATTAGAGGAACGAGACAATACTTTAGACTGCAAATATGCACAAAAGCTATATGACTTTTTTGGTATCAAGTTCGATCTACACATATTCATAAAGCATCGTCATGCAAACCTAGAAACCTGGAATGCACTGTTGCAAACAGTAATATGTTTTCATAATTCTCTTCTGTTTCCCCCATTGTCCTGTTATTTTTGTGGCACTATAGCAGATCCAGCAGAATGTTTCCTATTTTACTATTTTTTAATGTTTTTCCATGATATGTTTTAAAAAACATGATCATCCTTGTGCGGGTCAACTTTCATCCCTTATTTTCTTGTTTTTATAAGGAAAAGTGTTAGACTACCAATTGCTCCAAAAGCTTAAGCTGTCAGAAAGGCTGTAACTTCAGGTATTTACACTCTAACAAGCCCCTTCACGTGTGGCCAGATTTCAGTCCAACATGTGTATCATTTACCCTTCTCTGGGGTAATGGCGAGGTTAACTCAAGACCTAACCACCATCTACAATAAAAGCTAAAGCTGTTTGAGATGGTGTAACTTTAATATTTATATCCTCTATCAATGTTAGACTACCCACTGCTCAAAAAGCTTAAGCTATTAGAGAGGGTGGAACTTAAATATTATATCCTCTAACCGCCTGTGCCATCTTTACATAGCTAGTTCCATGCCCGGAAAAAGGAGTATTGCATTAGGTAGCTTGATAGCTAGAATAATACTTTTTTTATGACTAATACAAACATGAACACGCCCCCTTATGTGTTGCCTTCTTTTGATCCAACAAGTGTTTCAGTTTTTAACTACAAGAGTAACGGAGAGGTTTGAATTTGAATCCTTTTGGCTCTGATACATGTTAGAGTCGTTAGATTACCAATTATTCCAAAAGCTTGAGATGTTGGAGAGGATGTAACTTCAGCATATTTACATTCTAATAACGCGCCCCCTCACGTGTGGCCATATTTTGGTCCAACACGTGCATTAATTACAATTCTCTATGTAGTGGTTAGGTTTGAACTCATGACCTTAACTATTCTGATACCATGTTAACCACCATCTGCTGTAATAGCTTAAGCTGTTAGAGCGGGTGTAACTCTAATATTTATTTCCTCTAACAAAAACTAATCTGAGATGGTCAGCAAGAAGTAGTTTTATTAAAGTTCAAGGAGTCACAATTGCAGGAAGGAGAGAGAGAAAGAGAGAGAGAGATGGCTCAATACACTGAATAGGACAATATGAACTATGATGGATACAACATATTTGGCCTGAGTCAAAGCTAGATGGCAAAAATGATTTCATTTGCCAACTCCAAATGGTAAAGAGATGAGTATTTCTTAACGTCGAGTCTTCTTGATATTCAGATGAATTAAGGGGATATTTAGTCGCTATTTAGTTGAGAGATGAGGAGCCATTTCCTCAAGTCTGAGAGCAGTCACTTCGTGTCAAAATAATGCCAAAAGTCATTTCGTTCCCAATCTTTCTCGCCCATCAGGAGCAGGCTTTGGGAAGAGCCTTTAAACACTACCTGGTTAGAGCATCTTTGAAATTCAAAGCTTCAAAAGGTTCTTTTTAGAAATTACAACACCAAAACAATCGCCAGCTTGGCACAAGAAAAAGCTAAACAAATACATTTGAAAGTCGTAAGGACTGAAATCCTAGGCTCTAATGTAGTCGTGCAAGGTGTTCCATGATCTAGACCTAGAGGAGAAGTGAATAGGTCTTGTTAGTTGGATTAACAATTTTTAACTACTTCTTGAATTTAAGCTACAATAACAGAATTTTAAATTCAAATTATAACTAAATAGTAAAATCTATTCAAATCATCATTCCAATCAACCATGCAATAATCAAATAAAACAGGAAAAGCATGAACAACAGGCAGAGAGATTTTTTAGTGTAAATCCAACCGAAAAAACCATAGGACCTAGTCCAGGCAAACGGAATCCACTATGAGAAAGAGATATTACAACTAGGTTACCTGTTTTCAAACCCTAGAAAATTCCTAGTTACCTCTAAACACAGATTGGTCCCCCAAACTCTCCACTTGAGTTTTCAAGCACACGATCCGCTCGTTATCAGACTCCACTCCACAAGAATCTACATCTCCACCTGTTATTAGATTTCCATCCAACTACTCGTCCAGCCCAATCTCTAAATGATTGAATAGTGTTTTTGGTATTGAATTTCTCAAATTAGCTCCGCACCAATGATGTCAACACACTAGGAACACACTCACCAGTTTCGAATGCAATTGATGAACGTAAAGGAAAATATCAATGCACTCTTTTTCAAAAAAATAAAAATAAAAATAAAAATTTATGCTCTAAACATTGTAGTGTATCTATAATCTGGCCTAGAGTAGTATATATATAGGAAAAATAAAATTATATACAGAGTAGGTTTGCAGTGTTTTATTTTGAAAAGAAAACTGAATTTTTGAATCGAATGGAACAAGGAACAGGTTGATCGATTGACACAACTCCAGAGAGCTTTGATCGATAGTTTGATTGATCAAAGTACCCTGCAGAATTATACTTAGAAAATTGTAAAATTAGGAAGTTTCTAAAACACTTTGCATGCATATAAACAAGGATTTTTTTGAATGAAATCATCAAACTTAAAAAGCCTAATGAATGAATGCATATATCCTAGTATTGGTGAGTGCAGTGGAGTGTCAAATTACCTTTATACCCTTGGTGTAAGAGATTGCCTTTTTGCCCTTCAATGTAGCGTAAATTCTATCTTCAACCATGAGCAAGAGGTAATTACCATGCACAAACTACCTTTTGAATTTTCTAACTAAACTAGAAATAAAATACAAAATTGTAGACTCTAGTTTTGATCAACAAAATTTACCAACCTAAGTCCTATTGAGCTAACAACATTACTCATGCTAGTCTCGAATTTTACAAAATAAACTCAAATCAGTAAAATACAAATGACACAACATCGTAGGTATTTATAATGAGGTTTAGACTCAGAGAGATACAGACCTATTCATCGATCTCTGAAGTAGAAGATGGTGGAAAAGCATTAAAGCAAATATACCACGTGACTCAACATTCCACATCACTATTGATATGTCTGATGACATTATGTCACAGAGTCACCTCAAGAATATAGAGAACAAAGAAGACATATCAGAATATGAAATGATATAGAAGCATCAGGGAATACTTATAACTAGTCAAATCAACTCAATATGTTAGATACACCAAGACCACTGAGACTCCAGAATAGAAAAAAGTGGAAAAGCTTGAAAGAAAGTGCTTTGAGGCAACACAAATAAAAGATTAGATGTCAGTATTGATGTGTCTTCTAACATTATTCCAAGGATTCACCTCCAATATGAACAATATACAAAATGTCTGCCGTTTCATATGATACAACACAGATATGAAATCCCAGTTACTTGCTAAAAGTTGAGATAGGTAGCTTCAAGCAAATTAATATACCAGAACATAGAATAACGTAATTCAAAAAATCTGACTGCTCCAGTTTCCTTACACATACATTTGCGTAAGAGTCGTCAGAGCTCCTATTTCAGGGGACAAAACTCCAAAAAATCCCATGGACGATAATGATCTGCAAGCAGATAATAAATATAATCATGCACCACAACTAAAATCTGAAGCTTGGGAAACTAATGAGCAAAATCTTGCTCCATAACATTAGTAATGCATGCGCAACATTATGTTAGAATGCATATCATGGTCAGAAAGGCAAGCAAAGATTATCCAGCAAATTACTTACACAGAAATGACATTATTACTAGAGTCACAGCTAATTTTGGACCAAGTGCATGGATTCACTTGATACTGATTCCAATCTTTGAGCTGGTTAGCTGAAGCATTCAGTGAATTCTTCAATGCATAGAGTGCATCTCCTGAAAGAAACCTCATAATTTCACAGCATTCTGTCAGGCTAATATGCCACCCCAAACTGATCAGGGTTGCAAAGAAAATCTTGGAAAAACATGTAGGAGCAAATATAGGACATACTAAAAAAATCCTGTATATCCATAACCTCATTATGCCAAATCATATTATCCACAATACATTGACACATGGAACACCTTGTTTCAGAATACTGGATTTTAACAAATAAAAGAAATCTTCTTATTTCCTCCATTTGTTTCTGTTTTAGTAAAAGAAAAAAGGAAAAGTAATATAGCAAAAAAAGAGTTCCACGTGAATGGGATGTAGTTAGTCTAATGCTTTTGAATACCTCGTTCAAATATAACAACTTCCATAAGTAAATTAAGAATCTTTCTTTCGGCAAATAGACAAAGTTGGAATACAATTTTTTCATTGTTCATCCTCCAGATAATAGAAAGTCCCAAGAGAGTAGACCCACCTCGTTGATTCAACTATGTCATCTACCTAAGCTTATTCCCCTATAAAACATTCAGAGTATGTGAAGGTACCACGATATGTAATGCTACCATGCATACAGTTTTATATTAGTCATTTCTTATTACATACTACTTGTCACTAAACAAGCACAAAATTTGAACACCATCTAACATTAAACCTTCCAACAAGAAAAGGATTCAAGAATAGATTGAATCTTTTTGGATTTATTGTGTCCAATCCAATAACATACAAGGTGAACTCTCATGATGAGAGAATGTTCCAGTGATGTCAGCAACACATTCTCATCCCCTAGTTAGCAAGACACATATATAGAGGAGCAGGTCAATGTTCGACCATGTCGAAGTCAAATACCCCTACACTAAATAGACAGCCCTAAACATGTGTTTGGCACCTCTTCGATGTGTCCACAATAAGAAAATAAAATTCATAATTTTATATACTTCGTCAATATTTTACAAACACTTGGATAACAGGTAATACAAGCAATCTCCAACACTATCCAAAATAGGATGATCACATCTAAAAGTCCAACCACTTGAACAAAAAAAAAAAATTTGACAATGCATACATGACTGTTACAAGTCAAGCATGCAAGAAATAACGTGGATAAGAAAATATGATTTTAAAAATATAGCAGCGACAACAAGAAGAGAGACGATTATGACCCTAGGTATCTCAATAGAGTCAGTATAGTGATCCTGCTACTGTGGAGAAATATGCTAGACGTGCTCAATTGGGTGAAATTTTTTAATTAGATTGTGCTACTCAAACTCTACCGGCTTTGAAACTCCTAGTTACCGTCTGTCTGTTTTTCTCATGCAAAAACTGATATTGTCAACTAACAATCCACTACCTTCTGTCTTTTGAATTAGATCATGCTTCTGTTCATGCACAAACAATCCACTATATGAGAAAGAACCAGCGTCACGGACTAGGCTTTTCTATTGGTAAAAAAAAAAATCACCCAAAAGGCTAAGGAAATGATAATGACGAATATTACATATGCATATGTGAAAAATAAAAAAATTAATTTTAGACCAAAAAAAAAAAGTGAAATGATAAAGTATAGAAAGTCATTCATATAAGGCATAATGTGTGTGTGTGTGTGTACACAATGGATCAGTTTGAGTTGGATCGGATTTTTCTGCCCTCAATCTGTAACCAAACCGTTCTGAATGGTTCCTTAAAAAAATGGATCCGTAACCAAACCCATACCCCATCAAAACAGAACCAATCCTCACAGATCAGATTGGTTCAGATTGGATCATTGTTTGAACCGGATCCGCATGCACCGCTATGTGCCCTTTGGACTCGTGGCTACAACACAAACACCGGATATCAGCAATCACCCACAAGCCATGGATATCACTTAAACCAAGACTCTAATTTGAGACCTCAAGGTAGTAACCTTGAGAACCTGCCATCCAAGCAACCCTAGCATGTTTATAAATTTGTAAATTATAAAAGGTAATTGATATGAAATTTGATTTTGTAAAATTTAGAAAATTATTTTTAAATTCGATAAGTGTAAATCCAAATGCAAATTATTAGAAAAAATAAAAATAAATTAAGGGTATATTTGTTAAACTAAACGATATATATTAATATTTTAAAATGAAATGAAATATAAATTACAAATGAAAATGTGATATATATGTAAGAATTATATGTAAATTTAATACAAAAGTAAGTTCATGCTTTATGGTTACTTCTGCCCTTGAAAATTTTCTGACAACTTGTCATTTCCATTGCTACTGCAGTCTTTTGTCATTTTGCAATGAATGAGGGCTTTTTAAGGAATTATGAAAACAATGTATTAACAAATCTAACGGACAAATGACAGGGTGTGTCACTGAAAGTCAACTAAACAGGAGGTTGGGTTGACAGCAAAAAAATCGATAAATCAAGCTACCCTTTAACAAAATGATGCCAAAACCCCACAAAGAATGCCCCCTTCTATCTTTTGTTTTTCTTTAATGATAAATGAAGCTACATCTGGAAATGCAAGACTAGTAATTCTTAGCCTAACTCATATATTGTCAGAATGAATTAAATGTCAAATAAACAGCATACCTTGCGGATTAGGCGATACAAAAGAACGTAAACATGCCAATAAAATAACTACAAATAACAATTGCGTCCTTGATGGCACCATTCCCAGTAATTTGATTCAAGTTGAAAGTTATTCCCGGATATTAATGCAACATAATGCATAAACCTCTTCAAATGCATGAATAATAGCCATCTTTAACGCATGAACAAGTGCCTTCTCTGAAAAATCCAATCATTATATCAGAAATGTTACAAATGCATATTAAATAGCATATTAGACATAAAGGTAACTGGCATAACAAAATAGTTTTTTTGAGAAAACAATTCCAAGTATTTGGCAAATGCATCAAGACAGGGAAGTCAACGAGACTATTGAAAAATTGTGAAGGGGAAAAAAGGGTACATGGAGGAAGATATGGAGATTCAAAGAAATTATAATTATAACCATAATTAAAAGTAATTATTACATAAAAATTAAGTAACATCCATAGCAGAAGATGTTAATACCCTAGCGATTTCCATTTTGGAGTACACATTCCAGCACATAGTGCACTTTTGCTCTGGAACACAAATCAGCAATCCAAAAAATTAATTTCTATTTTCTACCTTTAGTGGTTGTCTTCTTCAAAAGATTTCTGATAAAAATTAAAATAAATATGATAAGATAGAGTTTCTTAGGAGATAATTTAAGGAAAGGGCCAAAATATTCTGTAACTTGTTTATGATGTCCTAAGGTCTATACTTATCAAAAAAAAAAAAAACAGAAGAAAGAAAGATATCCTAAGGTCTATGCTTAATCACTTCTAATATGAGAAATTTCTAGTAAATTTGTGCTTTGATCATATAGTGTATAGTTCAGCATCACTTGTTATAAGATAATCACCTGGCACAAAAAAATGTCAGTCTGTGATCAAAAGGGTGGGTAGAGAAATTACTCGACAACAATAAATGAAAAAGTGCGTTTGTACACCACTCTTAACCTAAAGTGCCATAGTTGTCTAAGTTTTCCTTCTATCAGACATGACTGTTTAAAATGATAATTTCTTGTTTTGACATTCTGCATCATGGCATAAATAGTTTCTATAATAATCATTTCTCATTAGCAAATATAAATTTTGTACCCATAGGTGTGCCGGAAATTCATTGAGATTTATTTCATAAAAAATAAGTCAAAAAATAATGATTGGAGAAAACAGAACTGAAGAGTCAAATAATTCAACATTTTTTATAATATGAGCACCAATAACCATAAACCTAGCAGTTAGTTAGCCTTTCCCTCTCAAGATATATATATATAATTTATATATGTATAATTCTCTCATCAACTCCTTATGCCAATCCACACACCTACAATCTAGGAAGCACGGATAATTCTACAAGGGCGATGTACGCGTATCGTATCTGTATCGGATACCGATACTCCTCATATACTTCTTAAACGTATCCATTATTTTAAAATATATTTTTAAATTTCTAACATGTATCCAATACTTCTCAAATACTTTAACCACTTATCCGATGCTTCTTAGATACTTCAAAACACATTTTTAACAAGTTTGGAACCATAAAATGTAACTTTTCCAACAATAATATAATAATATAATAGTTAAGAAAAGTTCAAAATATATTAAATGATGATTAGAGATGCTTGTTTTATGTTTTGTAAAACGAACTCCTATGTTATATTAATGAGTAAATATTTTAAAAAACAGACCAAAATTAATTTAATTTTGGCTATATATATAAATATAATTTTTTATTTTTTATTGCAGTATCCCACCCATACCCAAATCCTATTTTTTTTATATTTGTAGTATCGCCGTACCCGTATCCGTGCTTCTTAGCCTACAGTGAATAATTATTCTCTCTCTCACACACACCCCTCCTTATACCCACCCACCATATATGCACACTTAAATACTCTCTCTCACCCACCCACGCAGTATGACATTAATATCCCTAATCTCCTCGTGTATATACAATTTATCCTAAAGGGTTAACCTTGCAAGAGGATCCCGCCACTACGAGGTCTAGAGAGGGTCAGATGTATGCAGCATTACCTCCTCGTCGAGAGGCAGTTTCCGGATCAACCTTCTAAAATATACACTTCCGAATTTTAACAATTTCACATTCACATGTAAATGAACCCACGCATGCCCAGACCCATAACCACCCATACAGATATTTTGTATGACTTACTTGTAAATGAATTTAGAGACACTGTCCTTCCTGTGTTGACCCAATTTATTCATGGAAACTAATCTATTCTTCAATCCATTAACTATAAACCCATAAAAACAAGAATTTAAAGTAGATATATTAATGCTCCCTCTCTCTCTATATATATCTCTATCTCGTCAAATCCACCAAACCAATCAACCTACTAATCAACCAAATCATAAAAGCTAGCAAATTCAAATGTCTCAGTAAATAAAACCCAAAGAATCATCAAAACCCACAAAAAATCATCAAAACCCACAAAGAATCATAGCTTATGAAGACCTCTTTAGCTAAATATAAACATCTCATAGACCCAACAAAAAAAAAAAAAAAGAGGAATTCAAGAAGACGATAAAAGAGAAAGAAATACCTTTTGAAAAAATCAATAATGGATTTTTGTGTAGTTGCAGCAAATCTAACAGAAGCTTCCTTTTATAGTCCGTAAATTCAAGAAATGGCTCTCTCTCTCTACACTCTCTTTCTCTCTCTATACCAGATTCAGTTGACCCTTCAGTGACTTGGTTCTAAAACTGGCGTCTTTAGGAGATTGGCGACTTTTTTTTGTAACGGGAACGCATCAACCATACACTTCTGGTAATGGTCAATACTGCGAAAATTCCCTGCAGATGTTGTGATCTTGATTTTTCTTTGTGTTACATAATTAAACATTTTTGTTTTAGTGTGCAAAAAGTGGAGCCCACTTCATCCTTTGCATCTGGTCGCATTGTAACAGTGGGACCATGTAATGTAATTTCTACGTTTGACTACCTTATTATTATAACACACCACTTAAGAAAGAAGGTGGTTTTTTTTATTTAATTTTTTTTTTAGCACTAATTTTATTGAGCTTCTTTGACTGGACATTTTCTATTTCAGCACCAGCACATGTATTGAGTAGTGGGCCTTGTAAAAGAAAAAAATGATTTTAGAGAATGAGATTCCTCGTGTTTCAGGAGGCGCTTAATCACAATGCTACTCTTAATTTCATTTTAATAACATTGACTTGACTCTTAGAAGCAAAAAAAAATTATGATATTCTCATTCAAAACATTTACACAACCTCCTTACCATTTCAAAACCAGTAATAAATACCTAGTAACATAATTGTCCTTTAATTGGAGTTTCATATAACATAATTGTCTTTGGAGTCTTACAATTTTATTTTAAAATATGGTCATCTCTAATCATGTTCTACAGAAAAAATAAAAAGATTTTTTTCTGTGAGACATGACTTCTCATATTAATGTTTGATCATCCGACACAATGGTATCTCGTTCGACAGTCCAGTAATCTTTGAACTTTTCATGTACTTTCGACCATAATTAGTCAAACTAGCCGATTCAGGCCAGATTTTTAGGCTATTGATTCTGTTGTACTCTGATTTATTAGATGGTGTAGGGATTCACAATTAAATCCGGTCAGTTTGCTGTGAGCCGCTCGGTTTTTCCAGTCATATGACCATTTTTCTAAGAAGGGGGCCAATTCGACCCGGCCGTACAAGCCACTTGCCTAGGAACATGTGTTTTTTTTTTTTTGTAAGATTGTGGTCTAATAATAATAATTAATTCTATCCACTTATTTTAAATGTTTTTGTGATTATTCATATTTTAAGAGTTGTAATGCATTGTTTTAGTGGATTAATAATTATTTGCAAAGAGATGCATGTCTCTTAATGGAACCAATGCGTAATCGATTAACTTATTTTGTTGACCCAATGAGTAGACTCATCAGTTGCCTCAATATATTTATTTGGATGGGTTCTGATTGGTTTTATACCAAATTTGGTATTGTGAAAATTTTTAAATTGTTTTAGAACTATATAATTATGGTATTTTTTCTATCCAAATTTTAAACATATTATATAGTTCCTAAATAATTACTACAAAAATCTATACCCCATTTTTTGCATTGTAGAAATTAGTTATCATATAGCGTGTATAAATTTTATAAAGCTTCATATATGAGTTTGTGCTTTAATAATCATTCATAAATACGTCAAATTTCTTAAGTTATCATCATTAATTAAATATTTTATACCTTTGATGATATACGTGGTAAGGTTAATGATTAATTTTAGGTCTCAGAAAATATATATTTGTAAAATTATCGTGTTACTGAAATTTTATACATTATTATCATGTGTCCCATATTACAAATTGTGGCATAATCTGTATATGTATTTAGATTCATTTAAGAAAATTGAATCATATTTTACAATTCTAAGCACAAGTGTCATTGAGTTTGATTGAGTGGTTAGTCACCAAAATGGACACTTATAAATTTTTGGGTAAAGTACAGCAACATCCCCTGAGGTTTGCCCAAAGGATACACAAATACAACTTACCCCTATTATTGGACAAAGACACCTCTTGTATGAAATTTCAACCAAATAAGGTCTTAAATCTTCTAAAAAGACGAAATTACCCCATAATATTAAAATTATATTTATTATAAAATATTAAATATAGTAAAAAGACGCAATTACCCTCAGTTTATTTTGTAGCCACAGGCCATCTCTCTCTCTCTTACTCACTCACTCTAACCTTTCATTTCTTCTGTAACTTGTTCCATTCCTCTGTGAATCCCTACTGCAACCGTGTTGCTCATTTCGAAACCCTATTTCGTCACCATCAATATCATCAGGAGAGATTGGTGATTTCAATGGCGGCCAGAGATTCCGACGCCAGCGTGTGAAGTTCACACGATTTGCAGTGTGCCGGCGCGTGGATGTGTGTCTAAAGATCTAAAAACTGTCGCTGCCTCTGTTGCATCCACAGTCGTCACCTCTGCTGCTACACAACCCCTTTCTCTCTGCTCCACAACCCATTCACAACCCCTTTCTCTCTGCTCCACAACCCATTCACAACCCTTTTCTCTCTCCTTTCTCTGTTCTCTCTCTTCCTCCTCTTACAGCTCCAACGCCACCCACCATCGCCACCACCACTGCCCCACAACCCATTCACAACCCCTTTCTCTCTCCTTTCTCTGTCCTCTCTCTTCCTCCTCTTACAGCTCCAACGCCACCCACCATCGCCACCACCACTGCCCCACCTTTTCTCTCTATCTCTCTATACGATTCCACCCCCAACCACTTACCATCATTGCCATCGCCGAAACGGAAGACGAAATCACCGCCGCCCATCGACATTATCATCGTCGTCTAATTCACCGGTGCGATTCTCTTTAACGACAGCTCACCGTCGTCACCTTGTTGTGTGTGTGTGTGTATATATGTATGTATATGTATATACATATATATGTGTGTGTATATGTGTGTGTGTGTGTGTGTGTGTTGGTGTTGGTGTTGGGGCGGCAAGAGGAAGAAGAGAGAACGGAGAGAGGAGAGAAGGAAAGAAATGGGTATGGGACTGCACAAAGAGGTTAGAAAGGTCATTTCAATATTCAAATTGGTCCATATAAAAGTCAAATGGCAAAAATGTCAATTCATTTTAGGGTGTCTTTGGTAACTATATCAAACTTCAGGGAGTGTCTTTGTCCAAAAATAGGGTAAGTTGTATCTATATGTGCTTTTGGTAAACCTTAGGGGGTGTTACTGAACTTTATCCAAAAAAATTAATGGCATTTATAACTAGTGATAAAATTATTATTTTGCTAAAATTAAAGGATTGTGTTGGCATTTAGCAGAGATAAATAATGATCAAGCCCAAAAGTGGGTCATTGAGTCTGTCCAACTAAGTGGATTGGGCCAATTAGTGTAAAATATATACATAATTTATTACTTATTATGGCCAAAGGAGCATAAGTAGTTGTGTTTTCTATGATTAATTACCCTCAAATGTGAAAATTATTTCACCAATGGGAAACTAGAATATGATAATATGTTATGTTGTTAGAGTTAATTGTTTAGACATATTGTTTAATTAACTCTGAAAAATTTAGTTGGCTTTTTCATCAATTAAACTATATATATGTGACATTTTTATTAGTTGGTACTCACACACCCCCCTCCAAGGAATTGTTTGCAGAATCGATCCTGAGATCTGATATTTCATGAGGCACTAGGACCCAAATCTTTTCCAACTTTCATGAAGTTAGTGAGAATAAATTCATTTTAGTGTTAAATGTGGATGATAGTACGTTGTGACATAATTCTACACGAGATTAAATAATTTGTGCCTCAAACATTTGAGATGAAGGTATTGGTGAAGCCTCTTCATTAGTATTAAGTTTCACTTAAATAAGTCTCATGAAATTCTTGGAATGTCACAAAGAACCTAATTACATATAGTTCTGAAGGTATTTGACATATAACGCTATTAATGTGAAATTGCACCCATTGTAAAACTTAAGAAATTTGGTAATCCAATGACCAAGAAAATACCCAGAGCAGGATTAGATATAAGGTATTTTCTACGCCTTTGTAAACCTAATGTATACTTAGTTTTGCTTATTGTTTACTATAATATAGCATTTGCACAAAGTTAGGCAAATATTATAGTGATCCTATTTGGATCTATAGTGAGCAGTAAAGAAATTTATAATGTATCTGCAAAGAATTAAGAACCATATACTTTATAATAAGATCAACGAGCGTGGGATGGTGGAAATTTTGACTTTGCTGGCTGTCAGCATTATAAAATCCACTTCAAGTATTGTTTTATTTTTATTATAATTGATAGGAGCAGAGTTTATTTTGCATGTTATAAGGTCATGTTTCAAGCATTATAAAATATCAGTTTTGAAATTCAAGTTAATAATTCCGCTATAGTCTTACATCACAGAAACAATAAGAGTTCAGGTTGGTTTAAAATTATGATTATTGTTACCTTGTTGTGAAATAGAGGATTGAGAACAAGCTAGTGTTTTATTGAGCTCATTGATACATAACAAAAAATTGTTGATCCCATTACTAAGGGTTTACCGCTTATCTTATACAATAAGGATGCATATTTCTCTTTAATAACATTGATTTACTTGGTTAGTGGGAAGTTGTATTTAGCTCAAGTAAAGACATTCTTATTTGTGATCACAATTATTATCCTCATTTATTTATTTTTCCATATTGGTGCACGTGTGAATAGAAAATTATAAATATCCTTTTATGAGACATGGTGTGTCCTTATTGAGACATGGCAGGACTGATGCATGGCATAAATACTTTATTGTTTAGCACATGCCATATATATGAATGAACTTGAAGTTGAGTGTACTGATGCTGTATATATGTATGATCTTGAAGTTAAGGGTACTAATGTTTGTGATGTGATACCCCTCGATTCCAAAGCCATGGGTTGATTAAGTCCAAGTCTAAAATCAGGGAATACCAAACAATTAAAGTAATAATCGAGCACGGAATACAAAAGATTAATAAGAATAAATAATAAAGCTGAAAATAAAACTAAATAATAAATCCCACATTAAATAATCCAATAAAAGAAACCTCCAATAATAATCTGAATCATCTTATTCCAGTAACCATCTAGATTACAATTGGGGAATCCATAATGTAGACCCCTAATAAAATCCCAACAGAAACAACTGAAATAAACTAAATCCAAAAACTAAAACATAAAGAAGAATCCTACGTAGAATCGGAAGAGTGAAGTAGACTGTCTTCGCTCAGCACGAACAATCTCTAAGTCTAGAATTGACGAACATCTGAAAAATAATAGTGGATCAAGCACACGAACA